ACTTCCATTATACCAAAAAAAAACGATATTTATACACTAACCTTCATACAAAAAAACATAGAAAGTATGAAACTTACATACGAACATAGTTTCTTAAACAAATACAAAATAAATGAAAACAACTGGTCCACTACGTAAAGAATACCGTGAAAAAAACGAAGGACATAACAACAAACTGAGATTTAGAAACGACAAAACTTTTCTTTAGAGCACCCCACATAAATTTTCAAAAAGACAACAACTCGTGATCTTTCAAGTTGGTTATCCTCCCTTTACAAATTGAATATGTCTATCCTAAAAATTATGCTCACTAGAATGATGATATCCGTAACTGATGGCGCCTCAAAAGCTCAACTAAAGAATTTCTATTATATAAAAAAAAACGATATTTATATAGTAACCTTCACACAAAAAACATAGAAAGTATGGAACTTACATACGAACACAGTTTCTTAAAAAAAAAAAAAAAAAAAAGATTCACTGCGTAAATAATACCGTGAAAAAAACGAAGGGCATAACATGATAACAACAAACTGAGATGTACAAACGACAAAACTTTTCTCCAGAGCACCCCGCAAAAAATTTCAGAAAGACAACAACTCGTGATACACATTCGAAGTAGAATGGCACGAAAAAATAAGGATACAGTACGCTACGGAAAAAAAGTGTCAGTCCAAACCCACTAAAAAACGACTAACTAGAATGCGATCACTCCCACTACCGCGTAAGCGTACTGCAAAAAAAACGAAGACATGCATATGATGACGAACTCACAATCACAAACGACGAGAGAAAGGTTCAGAAAGACAAAAACTCGTGATACACTTCTAATTAGATTGACACGTAGAATCAGGACAAAATACATCGCACAAAAAAACGTCGTAACATTAGCACTTTAAAGTCAATAAAACGACTAATTAGTATACGATTGCTCCTACTACTCCCTTTTCGCCAAACTCTGAACGACGCACAAGGTCCTGCTACGTGCGACGAAACCCATACACTCGTACAGACCACTCGACTGCAGAAGTCATGACCAAACGCGTTATTTTCTCTCTTCAACCAAAAAGACAGAAGTCCCTCTCCTGTAAAATCAGATAAAATCAAAACCCCTACCAAAAGCATATCCAAAATATGAACTCCCTAGTACCCCTCTCAATTGCTTACTTCCAAGATGTGTCCAGCGGCAACTATAATACAATTGTGCTAGCTTGCATCGCCATCTACCGCAGCCCATCTGGTGCTACCGGACTTTTCGCACTTGCCTACTGSGTGCTCCTAAGGCTTCGATACACGCAGTCTACAATTCCTTTCTCCGCTAAGACACAGACTCTTCTTCTTCCCCGTGCGCACGACTAGACACTCCATAACCGAACGTGGGTAATCTTACACCTAACGCACACTCAGACGGAAGTGCGAGAGCACTAATTTCTGCAGGAGCTGACAGTCAAGAGGCAATGGCTACACCCGAGGATACTACATCCTCTTAAACGTTCAATCTTCAGGAAGGATCATAACTATCAAAGAGTGTCATCAATGTTGTACACCCGTACGTAGCACCGTGTTAGCGTTCGGAGGCGAACGCGAACATGTTCGCCCGAACGCGAACAAGCGCCAAAAACCCTCCGAACGCGAACATAAAAAATATTATTAAAAAAAAAAAAAACATCTTAGAAAAATCTGAAAAAAATATATGTTATGTAAAATAACAATACAAGCAACGTTTGCCTTGGAGTTATGTTCGAATTTGTATCCAATGATGAGTTAAAAATCAAAAACCGATTTATTTATTTTTTTTTACGAAAAAAAATATGTTCGCCCGAACATGTTCGCGAGCTGTTCGCGCGAACGCGCGAACATGAAGGGTTGCGAACACGTTCGCCGTGCTACTCAGGTACACCCTAACACAACACCCTTCTATGATAAAGTCTATTGGAGATTATAATACGACCCTATGATGAGCTGCTATGGGTGTTAGGCAGAGAAAAGCGCGCTTCAGGGTGGGCACCCTCGCTATGGCTGTCTTCAACAGCCATCTCTAACCCCAA